GAGGAGCATCAGTAATGTTGTCTTTTAAATGTAATTCTTACATGTGATAATTTTATCTAATACCAGCTTAATACTTTCTAGATACCTTGTTTACGATTTATCATTTTTTTTGCCAACGATATAACATATTTGTCTCAGATTCTAATTAGTCACTAGAATCAAGAGAAGGGCGGGTGGGCGGGGCTATTGCTTACTTAAAAGAGTGTAGCCCCACCCACCCACCCTTATTCTATTTAGATGACCCTTTTTATTGGCTCTGAGATGAAAGTTGGATTTAAATTGACAAATAATTGAATCTATACACAACTATTTTTTTTTTAATTTTGACACTTATTCGAAAAACTATCTTGCCACCAACGTTTACATAGACATATTTAAAAAAATCATTTAAAGTAGACACAATTGATCGCCGCCCTTGCCTCCGGGCCAATGAGACGATATTTTAAGGTGGAGCTTGAGTGGGTGGGAGGAGCATCAGAAATGTTGCCTCTTAAATGTAATCTCACATTTGATATTTTCATTTAATACCACCTTAATTCTTTCTAGATACCTTGTTTAGTATTTATCAATTTTTTGCCAACAGTATAACATATTTGTCTAAGATTCTAGTAAGACAATAATGTTTCTATTAATTGACAGTATTAAGATCAGTCACTAAAATCAAGAGGTGGGCGGGTGGGCGGGGCTATTGCTTGATAGAAAGCCTAGAGCCCCACCCACCCACCCTTATTCCTTCTGATGACCCTTTTTATTGGCTTTGAGTTGGAAGTTGGATTTAAATTGACAAATAATTGAATTTATAGAAAACTATTTTTTTAAATTTTGACACTTATTTAGAAAAACTATCTTGCCACCAACGTTTACATAGAAATATTTAAAAAATCATTTAAAGTAGTTACAATGTAGTACAATTTAGCGCCGCCCTTGTTTCCTAGCCAATGAAACGATATTTTAAGGTGGAGCTTGAGTGAATAGGAGGAGCGTCAGTAATATTGCTTTTTAAAGGTAATTCTCACATTTGATATATTTTTTTAAAACCAGCTTAATACTTTCTAGAAACCTTGTTTACGATGTATCAATTTTTTTGCCAAAGATATAACATATTTGTACAGGATTCCAATAAGATAATAATGTTCCCATTAATTAACAGAATTAAGATTAGTCACTAGAATCAAGAGGTGGGTGGGTGGGCGGGGCTATTGCTTCTTTATAAGAGGATAGCCCCACCCACCCACCCTTATCACATTTTGATGACCCGTTTTATTGATTCTGAGATCGAAGTTGGATTTAAATTGACAAATAATTGAATCTATAGAGAACTATTGTTTTTTTTTATTTTAACACCTATTCGAAAAACGGCCTTGCCACCAACGTTTACATAGCAATATTAAAAAAAATCATTTAAAAGACACACAATGTGTACAATTTAGCGCCGTCCTTGTCTCCGAGCCAATGAAACGATATTTTAAGGTGGAGCTTGAGTGAGTGGGAGGAGCATCAGTAATATTGCTTTTTAAAGGTAATTCTCAATTGTGATATTTTGACTTAATACCACTTTAGTTCTTTCTAGATACCTCGTTTGCGATTTATCCTTTTTTTTACCAACGTTATAACATATTTGTCTAAGATTTTAATAAGACAGTAATGTTTTATTAATTAATTAACAGTATTAAAATCAGCCACTATAATCAAGAGATGGGCGGGTGGGCGGGGCTATTGCTTGATAGAAAGATTGGAGCCCCACCCACCCACCCGTATTCCATTTTGATGGCCCTTTTTATTGGCTTTGAAATAGAAGTTGGATTTAAATTGACAAATAAATTAATTTTTAGAGAACTATTTTTTTTTTTATTTTAACACTTATTCGAAAAACGACCTTGCCACCAACGTTTACATAGAAACATTAAAAAAATCATTTAAAGTAGGCACAATGTAGTACAATTTAGCGCCGCCCTTGTCTCCGAAGCAATGAAACGATATTTTAAGGTGGAGCTTGAGTGAGTGGGAGGAGCATGAGTAATGTTACCTTTTAAATGTAATTCTCACATTTGGTATGCTTATTTCATACCAGCTTAATACTTTCTAGATACTTTGCTTACGATTTATCATTTTTAGTCATTAGAACCAAAAGGTGGGTGGGCGGTCGGGGCTATTGCTTGTTTATAAGAGGGTAGCCCCACCCACCCTTATTCCATTTTGATGACCCTTTTTATTGGCTCTAAGATGGAAGTTGGATTTAAACTGACAAATAATTGAATTTATAGAGAATATTTTTTTTTAATTTTAACATTTATGCGAAAAATAACTTTGCCACCAACGTTTACTTAGAAATACATACATAAAAAATCATTTAAAGTAGACACAATGTAGTACAGTTTAGCGCCGCCCTTGTCTAAGAGCCAATGAAACAATATTTTAAGGTGGAGCTTAAGTGGGTGGGAGGAGCATCAGTAATGTTGCCTTTTAAATATAATTTTCACATTTGATATGTTTATTTAATACCAGCTTAATTCTTTCTAGATACCTTGTTTACGATTTATCAATTTTTTTGCCAACGGTATAACATATTTGTCTAAGATTCTAATAAAACAATAATGTTCCCATTAATTAACAGAATTAAGATCATTCACTAGAATCAAGAGGTGGGTGGGCGGGCGGGGCTATTGCTAATTTATAAAAGGATAGGCCCACCCACCCACCCTTGTTACATTTTGATGACCCTTTTTATTGGCTCTGAGATCGAAATTGGATTTAAATTGACAAACAATTGGATCTATAAAGGACTATTGTTTTTTTTTTAACACCTATTCGAAAAACGGCCTTGCCACCAACGTTTACATAGCAATATTAAAAAAAATCATTTAAAGTACATACAATGTAGTACAATTTAGCGCCGCCCTTGTCTCCGAGCCAATGAAACGATATTTTAAGGTGGAGCTAGAGTAAATGGGAGGAGCATCAGTCATATTGCTTTTTAAAGGTAATTCTCACATTTGATATATTTTTTTAATACCAGCTTAATACTTTCTAGATACCTCGTTTACGAATTATCAATTTTTTATACCAACAGTATAACATATTTGCTTATGATTCGAATAAGACAATAATGTTTCTATTAATTAAGAGTATTAAAATCAGGCACTACAATCGAGAGGTGGGTGGGTGGGCGGGGTTATTGCTTGATAGAAAGACTGGAGCCCCACTCACCCACCCCTATTCCATTTTGATGACTCTTTTTATTGGCTTTGAGTTGGAAATTGGATTTAAATTGAAAATTGACAAATAATTACAAATAATAATTGAATCAGAAATAAGATCAGTCACTAGAATCGAGAGGTGGGTGGGTGGGCGGGGCTATTGCTTGAGAGAAAGACTGGAGCCCCGCCCACCCACCCTTATTCCATTTTGATGACCCTTTTTATTGGCTTTGAATTGGAAGTTGGATTTAAATTGACAAATAATTGAATTTATAGAGAACAATTTTTTTTTAAATTTTGACACTTATTCGAAAAACTATTTTGCCACCAACGTTTACATAGATATATTAAAAAAAAATCATTTTAAAGTAAACACAATTTACCGCCGTCCTTGCCTCCGGGCCAATGAAATGATATTTTAAGGTGGAACTTGAGTGGGTGGGAGGAGCATCTGTAATGTTGCTTTTTAAATGTAATTATCACATTTGATATTTTCTTAAAAGATTGTAGCCCCACCCACCTACCCGTATTCCCTTTTGATGACCCTTTCTATTGGCTCTGAGATGGAAGTTGGGTTTAAATTGACAAACAATTGAATCTATAGAAAACATTTTTTTTTTTTATTTTAGCACTTATTCGAAAAACGACCTTGCCACCAACGTTTATATAGAAATATTAAAAAAGTTAGTTAAAATAGACACATTGTAGTAGAATTTAGCGCCTCCCTGATCTCCGAGCCAATGAAACGATATTTTAAGGTGGAGCTTGAGTGAGTGGGAGGAGCATCAGTAATGTTGCATTTTTTGTAATTCTCAGATTTGATATTTTTATTTAATACCAATTTAATACTTTCTAGGTACTTTGTTTACGGCTTGCCAATTTTTTTGCCAATGGTGTAACGTGTTTGCCTAAGATTCTATAAGATAATTGTGTTTCCATTAAGTAACAGTATTAAGATCAGTCACCAGAAACAAGAGGTGGGCGGGTGGGCGGGGCTATTGCTTTCTTATAAGTGTGTAATAATATGCGCAGTCTTTTTTTATAACAAGAAACTTAAAACATGTTTAAAATAGTAAATTGTTGTAGCGAAATATAAATGTTGCAATTATGCTCCGCCCCTCGGTATGACAACAAATACAAAATTCAACACAATTGAGATTGGGGCGGTTATAGGTAGGGCTTAATCTTTGGCTCTTTTTACTTAATACACGTAGTTTTTGTTTGAACAACACGATTACTTAAGAACATGTTTCACATCGTAATTTCTTCGAAAAAAATGAGGATTGCCATTAAGCTCCGCCCCCATGCGCACGACGAATAAAAAAAATCATCACAATTGAGATGGGGTGGGTGGGCGGGGCAGTCTTTTTTTCATAACAAGAAACTTAAAACATGAATTAAATAATGATTTTAATTTTATGATGTAACAGTAAATTTAAAAAAACAATGAAAAAAAAAACAAAAATTTGTTTCAGTCATTAATAGTCGCTGGATAAAAACGTGTTCATTAAAATAAAAATAAACTAATACAATAATTGTAAACATTGTGACCGATTTATTGTTAAGCGTGCTGCGAATAAACGTGGGGAATTACAATTTGCAGGTATTAAACTCTGTTCTGTGTACAGAAGTTGCGTCATGGATTATCTCAGTGACTTTACAAGCCAGAGTTCATTGCTATGGGTATAAAAAAATCCCCGCGGTCAAACAAACGTAAACATAAATAAGTAAGAGTACAGTTAAAGGTTCATGTTTTTTTCTGGAAAGGAAGGAAGGAAAAATTTTCGTTTAAATAAATGTTACCTTAAAAAAAATCAAAGAAAATTTTTTATTCACTTTTGTTTCAAAAAGTCCCTCTCGTCACAATTTTTCAGATAGATATGCGTAAATCCCCCAGTTTTAAACCGTGGCATATAAATCACGTCCGAATTTGTTGTTTCTCAGACTAAGTTTGCATCCAGCTTGACTGTTGTCTACAAGATGAAGGCCCTAGTAAAAATTCTGTCTGTAATACTTCTTGTGAACATCATTTTGGGTGTTGTAAATGCTATTCCGGTCGATGAAAACTACGAAACGGGTAAGTTTATTTACCTTTTATTTATATAAAGTGAAAGGTTTATGGGTGACTATTTTTAGAAGCTTTGATACGAAGACTGAGACCCAAAAGAGGAGAAAAAACTTGTCACATTCTTAACAGATCGGGAAAGCCAATCACAGAATCTCAGTGCGATTTAGTTTGCTGGGAACAGAGTTACGAAGTTGGAAGATGTAAGGGTAATGCTTGTTATTGCAGCCCCACATAATGTATTAGAGTTAGTCTTAGAAATAAATTGTAAATTAAGTTGAAGGAGTTTAATAAACAATAATTATATAAATTCCTTTTTACTTCCCGAGCGTAAGCAAAGGAAGTATTGTAATCAGTCCGTCGGCCGACTCTCTACTTTTACGTTTTCTCGATCTTTCATGACCCCTAGAAGACGAAGAAATAGGTCTCCCATTTCCGTCTGTCTGTCCGTCTGTCCGTCTGTCCGTCCGTCTGTCCGTCCGTCTGTCCGTCCGTCTGTCCGTCCGTCTGTCCGTCTGTCCGTCTGCCCCCAGATTTTTATTAGACAGATAATCTCCGAAAGTACTCGACCGATTGTTGTGAAATTTTGTACTTATATTAAGAATATCATGTAGATGGTAAAACGCTAACCAAAATTTGTCTAATCATCCCTACCACTAATGCGATGACGTCACTTCAAAATTGTACATAGTAAATGTGTTTTCAATTGTATAAAATAACATAGTCCTACACATGTAGTTTACAACTCTGAATCGACTTTTCACCCGAAACGTCCAGATTTTTGGAAAAAAAATCAAAATTATAAAACAACATTTTGAAATTTAATTTTTAATCTGCTAACCAGAATGCTTTGAAATGTTGCAGATGTTTTAAGGCTATAAAGAGCATCATAAATCTTTAGTCAAAAAATATTTGCTTATCCCCTCCAAAAACTTGATGACGTCAGCTCAAAAGTTTGTGGAATAAATCATATCTAAAATGTACAAAATATGATGAGTCTGTACTTGTGATCTATCACTCCATTCATATTTTTTGGATTTGCATATACAGAGTGACTCAAAAAAATTAATGAATGCGTAAATATATTTTATTGATTTAATCAGGAACTACAAAACGGAATGCTCTGACATCTTGCACATGTTTTAAGGTTATAAAGGGCATAATAAATGTTTAGTCAAAATATATTTTCTTATCCCCTCCAAAAACTTGATGACGTCAGCTCGAAAATTTGCCGAATAAATCATATCTAAAATGTACAAAATATGATCAGTCTGTACTTGTGATCTATCACTCCATTCATATTTTTTGGATTTGCATATACAGGGTGATTCAAGAAAATAAATGAAAGCGTAAATTTATTTTACTGATTTACTCAGGAACTACAAAACCGAATGCTTCGAAATCTTGAAGATATTTTAAAATTATCATAAGCATGGTAAATTTTTGATCAAAACGTATTTGGTCCTCCCCCCTAAAAAATTTATGACGTCACTACAAAATTTTGCTGTATAAATCCTATCTAAAATGTACAAAATATGGTGAGTCTCTTCTTGTGATTTATCATTCCATTCAAATTTTTTCGATTTGCATATACAGGGTGACTCAAAAAAATTAATGAATGCGTAAATTTATTTTATTGATTTAATCAGGAACTACAAAACCGAATGCTTTGAAGTCTTGCAGATGTTTTAAGGTTATAAAGAGCATAATAAATTTTTAGTCAAAATATATTTGGTTATCTTCTACAAAAAACTGATGACGTCAGCTCAAAAGTTTGCCGAATAAATCGTATCTGAAATGTACAAAATATGATGAGTCTGTACTTGTGATTTATCATTCCATTCATATTTTTGGATTTGCAAATGCAAGGTGACTCAAAAAAATTAATGAAGGCGTGAATTTATTTTATCGATTTAATCAGGAATTACAAAACCGAATGCTTTGAAATCTTGGGAATATTTTAAAGTTATTATAAGCATGGTAAACTTTTGTTCAAAATGTATTTGTTCATCCCTCCTAAAAAAATTGATGACGTCACCCTTAAATTTTGCTGAATAAATCCTATCTAAAATGCAAAAAATATGATGAGTTCGTACTTGTGATTTATCATTCCATTCATATTTTTTAGATTTTCTTAAGAGGTGGTTCAAAAAAATTAATGAAGTCAATTTATTTTATTGATTAAATTAAAGGCAACACTTATTATTAGTATTACACCCCAACCAACCCAATTTGGTAGACACAAAATTTGTTAAAGGAAAAACTCGGTTGAAACATAAGGGTAGCACGCTTATTTACATCGACTTTAACATTACAGACCTGCATTTGTTTTATGCGCTCACATGGTTCCGCGAATGTGAAATAGACATGTTTATAATCAACCAATTGTGAATTTCACCGTCAAGAATTAAAATAAAACCCAATGTTTTATATAATAAGCGGAAGTCGAAGCAATAAAACCGATGGTCGTTTTGTTTACAGTTTCTCTCTTTGATTCTCACGTATGCTGTTACGCTTGTCATCTTAAATTAAGAATGTTTATACATACACGATTTTCAGTTGCCTCTGATACGTATACGTGAGTAAATTGTTTCGTTATTTTATTGATTATTATAAATCAATATTCAAAACGACGCAATTCATTTTCCCGAAAATTTGAGAATATAATAATTTTATTCTTAGTATTACACTACATCTATCCCAACTGATATACGTGTCCTTGCAAAAATGTTGATGACGTCATCGCAATTTTTTTTTTAAATTCCCACTACAAAAATGTAATGAGAAAAAAACACAATAGGCATGCAGTCGTCAAGTTTCCGACAGCGAGGGAAGTACTGTCTAAACTCTTTAGACCAATTTTTTTAAACAAATTTTCTGACATCTGTGTACCAAAAAATCCCCTGACTTTAAGCCATGGTATTTAAATGACGTTCAGATTTGTAGTAGCTCAGATTAAAGTTTGCCACTGGTTCAATATGAAGGTCCTCGTAACATTTCTGTCAGTTATACTTCTTTTCAACATCATTTTGGGCGCCGTAAGTGCTATCCCAATCGACGAACACTATGAAACGTGTAAGTATATTTAACTTTTTTTTTGTAATAAATAAGAAAATTAATGTGTGACGATTTCAGATGCTTTGGTACGAAAACTGAGACCGAAAAGAGAAGAAAAAACTTGTCACATTCTTAACAAGTCGGGAAAGCCAATCACAGAGTCTGAGTGCGATTTAGTTTGTTGGTCACAAGAATTCCAAGTTGGGAGATGTAGGGGTAACGCTTGTTACTGCAGCAATAAGTAAATTGATAAAAAATAGATATATTTTTAAAATATGTAATGTCGAGGATGATAAATAAATAAATATGAACCAAAAGCTATTATTAAAACGAAGCCTGACCTTAGATCTGAGGTTATCTCAACGGATTTTTCAACAAACGCTAAAAATAATATATCATGTGTGTGCAGTTGCAAGAATTTGAATTTTATGATGTTGATTTTATTAACCTGCTGGGGAATTACTATTCCACATGCACTCTCTAGAAGTGGGGATCCACCTAGCTTTAAAATTGTTTATAAGACCAGGCAGACGTTGCACTTTGTTAAAAAACTTACAATGAAGACTACAATAATTTTGTTTGCGGTTGTTCTTTTGTCGCATATTACAGTGAATAGGGTTCTCTGTTACCCTGCTGAAGATGGCAGTGCTACAGGTAATTACAAAACACACAAAAAATAAATGCACATTACTAAAATCTGTCCTATCTCTAAAAAATATTTTCTTAGGTCGCATTTTACGATCACTACCAAAACCAACTCCTGAAAAAACTTGTCACTTGAACTGTTTAGACCAAGGCTTCACAAATGGAACTTGTCGGACTAATACATGTTACTGTGATAACAAAGTTGCATTCTCAGCGTGTACATTTCGAACAACAAATGTTTAAATAGATATCTAATAAATTTGACTAAGTTAATTTGAATTTATCGCCACACGCCCCTCCAACAATTTTAAGTTCGGTCCTGTCGTGCGCAACCATTCCGCATCGTGACGTCACCCACAAATTGTATACTTAACCATAACCTCACTTAAAAATGAAATTTTCCAAAAAAGAATAAAAACGCGATTTCTCACAATGGACGACAGCAAAGGTACCCCCGAGAGCGATTTCAGCATCGAGTGTTTCCAAAACTACACCGCCCCGGAGGTTTTCATACAAGGCTTAGCCGGAATAGTTGATCAACAAGATGTCGAAACAATGATAAGAGCCCAGAAACAAATGTAACTCACCCACACCATAACCCCCCAAAACCTAACACCTCTCTCATTTAAGGCTACAAAGATTCGAAAAAACAAACGAAATGCTCACAAACTGTAACGCATTAAGTGCCAACCGTCTCAAGACTATCGGGCCAGAGTTCAAGAAGCACACGCAGTTGTTGCTTGAAACGAAAAAAGACTTGGACTACATTTTCAAAAAAATTCGTGCCATAAAAACGAAGCTGTCGACGCAGTACCCTGACGCTTTTGCTGAAGCTGTGCGGAGTAGTTTGGCGGAAGAGTGTGAGGAAGATGATGATTTGAATGATAGTAGCGCTAGCAACAAGAAGGATAATAGGAGGAGTCTTCACTTGAAGAGTACTGATAGTGGGAGTATCGAAATGGAAAGGAGGGCTTCTCAGTAATTAAATGTAATTTATTAACTCAAAATACAACTCATTTAACAGGCATACTTTTCTGTATACATTTGGGCTTTCTTAACAAACTCAGAGTAGGTGTTGTTGTATTCATCTGCTATGTCTACCATTAACGGGTCATCGGCGTTGGGGCTCTCTAGGAGCATTCTCACTGCTATTAACACGCCTTCTAGACCTACAGTCGGCCTCCAGCAACCTTTTGGTGGTAGTTTAGTTAGATCCATGCAGACGCGCCCGTTGTCGTCAATGTTAGGGTGGTACACCTTAGTGAGAAATTTCACTATGGGTGGTGAGAAGGGATACTTCTCCGAAATCTGCAACTGCACTTTGAACACCCCATTCTTGTATGGGGTGTTGTCAGGGCCGATCATTTGCGCTTCGAGAAAGTTGAGCTTGTCGTCTCTGGGGGCAACGCTGATTCCCGTCGGGGGGGCGCTCGCCAGTTTTTCCAATTCTCGGGCGATTCGTTGCCGCTGCATGATCTAAACAACAACAACAACATTCAATAGTTTGAAAAATAACAATGCAGCCTAACCTCACTTTATGGAACTTAATTTAACCAAATAACGCGAAGCTTGCGCTGGGTGTATCGCGCTGGAATGGATTATCGGAATCAACGAATTTCGACGTTTGGTTTAAATCACTGGAACACTCTTGGAGCCAAATCTCGAAATCTCGTTTGGAAATTTTCGAAAAACTAGGGACTTTGTTCAACTTTGTTGTTTCGTTCGCTGTTTGAATCTAGTGACTCCGTCGCCGCCCGCCATTGGCCGATTTAAACCCGACTTGACGTTTGGCATCCATCTGCATTGTAACGAATTTTCAACAAATCAATTAAAAGTAGATTTAGGATAATTTCTAAGTGAATTTTGTGAAAATGGCCCAAAATTTCAACCCGTTCGTGGAACAGATGCCCGAAAATGTAAAACAAGCTGAAAGTTCGAAAAAAGTGTCCAACGACAACCACGCAGTGACCAAAAGGTAAGAAAAGCGAAAATTGCAGCTAGCGCAGCCCTGATCGTGTCTTTCGTCCTAGACTACACAAAGAACTGATGACTCTGATGATGTCCGAAGATAAGAGCATCTCTGCGTTTCCAGAGGGCGACAATCTATTCAAGTGGGTAGGCACCATCATGGGGCCCAAGGACACAGTGTACGACAATTTGAAGTTCAAACTGAGTTTGCAGTTCCCCAATTCCTACCCCTACACGGCCCCCGTAGTTAAATTCATAACGCCGTGCTTTCACCCCAACGTGGACACAAGTGGTAATATTTGCCTCGATATTTTGAAAGAGAAGTGGTCGGCTTTGTACGACGTTAGGACTATTCTGTTATCTATTCAAGCCTTATTGGGCGAACCTAATATTAGTAGTCCGCTAAACACCACCGCGGCCGACAAGTGGAAGAAAAAAGATGAGTACAAAAAGCTTCTTTTAGAATCTTACAAAGAAGTCTAGTCTTAATTTCTGATGTTGCTTATTTAGCAAAGATTTCAGTTATGAGGCGTCATTGTGTATAATAGACTGCATAATACTATTTTGTGTTACTGTATACTTTCATATTTTCATGGGTGTTATATATAATTTAAATAAAAAACATGTTAAACTTGACTTGTTTTTATTTACATAAATAAATATTTGGCTTAGTAGATAATGGATAAATTATATAAAAATTACGTGTTATGACTAGGATTTGACAATGATTAAGATGAAAAATAGTAGGATTGTGGTTATCGCCAGGACAAGAATGGCGCACATTTTGCGATTCTTGCGTTGATAAGCGTCAGCCTTTTGCAGTTGTTTGAAACCCTCATACACCTGAATTTGAGTTTGTTCTACGTTATAGTCAATTCTGTCTAGCACAGTGCCCTGATCTGCCACCATCTGACTAAGATCTTTAAAAATCTCGTTTAAATCGACAATTGACTTGACAATGGCGTTGACTTCTTGTTCGCGCTCTTGCGCGAACCGCGTGTTCTCCTCTTCCAATAGCAACAACTGCTGCTGGCTCATCTGCTTCGAGTTGATAAAATAATTGTCGATGTCGTCTACTTCCCGACTATACAAATCCTCATCTTCTAACTGATTATCGAAGTAGATTTTGGAGCGGTCTTCACGCGATTGAATTTGGCGTAAATAGCTGTTCTGGGTCGATCTAAACATGGTTGAAAGTTCCTGCAAAGCACTCGCGAGTGAATGGTAGACGTTTATGGTCAACCGTTGTTCTTTCATGGGACCTAAAACCCGCAGTTAGACACGACGGACTAAATCACCCGATTTACCTTCAGACGAGTGGCTCTTGATAATCTGCACCAGTCTGTGTGTTTCGTTAAACATCCGCGTGATTTCGTGCGTGCAATTTTCAATGGCCACTTCATCAGCCGAACTCTCGTCAAACGTAGGCCTGTGTAAATGTCTGGAATGTAGCGTTTTCAGTTCGTTAATCTTGACTTTCAGCTTTGGCAAAATCATTTGAGCTTTCTCCAAGTAGTCTATCCACATTGGGGGCATTCGGTTGTCGTTGCGGTCACCCAAGCCCTCTTCTACGTCGTTCAGCGAGACTAGGTGCATCCGCTCCGAGTTGTCCTGGAAGCTGGGTCAATGGGGGGCTGCGTTTGCGAAATACTAACCTGGTCTGGGTAGATGTGCCTACTGCGAACCGCGTTGTTCCGCATCAACAAAAAAACGTCGGTGAGACTCCGCGAAGCCATCGAAGCGACTTTACTTAAACTAGTGTAGTATTAATTAAAAGCGAAAACTTAGTTTGGGTCTTGCGAACATTTTTGTGTCACCGCCAGCTGTCACGTACTTGGGGTTATGTTTGTTGTTGTTAATTTTTAAAAGAACGTCGACCGGAGGTTTATTGGGTAAATATTTACGGTGTTTGAGCAATTAATTGCGATTGTATAATTAATAATTTGTAGACGAATTTTTTATAATTTGTGGTGGATCGCGTGGGGTTTTTAGCGGTCGTCGAAATCCCTAACATCACAACAAAAAATTGACATATCTCTTTTTTTTTAGCTTTATTTTATTAATTGTTGAGGTTGGAGGTGTCCAGACTCGGTTATGAGTCACTTACGTGAAACTAATCATGAATAATAAAATTCGGATAATAAATGGTATGCATAAAAGTGGAATATGTTTGCTTTGATTAAGGAAATTTAGGAATCTTGGGGGCACCCGTTGTTTTATTTTTGAAGAAGTTATGGGAATCTCAAGGGCACCTGGTGTTTTATTTTTGAAGAAGTTTTAGGAATCTCAGGGGCACTCGGTGTTTCATTTTTGAGGAAGTTTGAAAAATATTTGGGGCATCCGATGTTTTATTTTTGAAGAAAATTTAGGATTCCAGGGGCACCCGGTGTTTTATTTTTGAAGAAGTTTTAGGAAATTCAGGGGCGCTCGGTGTTTCATTCTCGAGGAAGTTTGAAAAGGCATCCGATGATTTATTTTTGAAGAAAATTTAGGAATCTCGGGGGCACCTGGTGTTTTATTTTTGAAGAAGTTTTAGGAATCTCAGGGGCATTCGGTGTTGCATTTTTGAGGAAGTTTGAAGAATATTGTGGGCATCCGATGTTTTATTTTTGAAGAAAATTTAGGATTTCAGGCGTACCCGGTGTTTTATATTTGAAGAAGTTTTAGGAAATTCAGGGGCACTCGGTGTTTCATTTTCGAGGAAGTTTGAAAAATCTCGGAGGCAACCGATGATTTATTTTTGAAGAAAATTTAGGAATCTTGAGGGCACCTTTAGTTTTGAAGAAGTTTTAGAAATCACAGGGGCACCTGGTGTTTTATGTTTGAAGAAGCTTTAGGGATCTCAAGGGCACATGGTGTTTTATTTTTGAAAAAGTTTTAAGAATCTCAGGGGTACTTGGTGTTTCATTTTTGAGGAAGTTTGAAAAATCTCAGGGACATCCCATGATTTATTTTTAAAGAAAATTTAGGAATTTTGGTGGCACCGGTTGTTTTATTTTTGAAGAAGTTATAGGAATCTCAAGGGCACCTGGTGTTTTATTTTTGAAGAAGTTTTAACAATCTCAGGGGCATTCTGTGTTTCATTTTTGAGGAAGTTTGACGAATATTGGGGGCATCCGATATTTCATTTTTGAAGAAAATTTTGTATTTCAGGGGCACCCGGTGTTTTATTTTTGAAGAAGTTTTAGGAAATTCAGGGGTACTCGGTGTTTCATTTTTGAGGAAGTTTGAAAAATCTCGGAGGCATCCTATTATTTATTTTTGAAGAAAATTTAGGAATCTCGAGGGCACCCGTTGTTTTAGATTTGAAGAAGTTTTAGGAATCTCAGGGGCACTCGGTGTTTCATTTTTGAGGAAGTTTGAAGAATCTCGGGGGCATCCGATGTTTTATTTTTGAAGAAAATTTAGGAATCTCAAGTGCACCTGGTGTTTTATTTTTAAAGAAGTTTTAGGAATCTCAGGGGTACCGGGTGCTTTATTTTTGAAGAAGTTTTAGGAATCTCAGGGGCACTCGGTGTTTCATTTTCGAGGAAGTTTGAAAAATATCGGAGGCATCCGATTATTTATTTTTGAAGAAAATTTAGGAATCTTGGGGGCACCCGTTGTTTTAGTTTTGAAGAAGTTTTAGGAATCTCAAGGGCACCTGATGTTTTATGTTTGAAGAAGGTTTAGGAATTTCAGGGGCACTCGGTGTTTCATTTTTGAGGAAGTTTGAAGAATTTCGGGGGCATCCGATGATTTATTTTTGAAGAAAATTTAGGAATCTCAGGTGCACCTGGTGTTTTATTTTTAAAGTAGTTTTAGGAATCTCAGGGGCACCTGGTGTTTTATTTTTGAAGAAGTTTTAAGAATCTCAGGGGCATTCTGTGTTTCATTTTTGAGGAAGTTTGACGAATATTGGGGGCATCCGATATTTCATTTTTGAAGAAAATTTTGTATTTCAGGGGCACCCGGTGTTTTATTTTTGAAGAAGTTTTAGGAAATTCAGGGGTACTCGGTGTTTCATTTTTGAGGAAGTTTGAAAAATCTCGGAGGCATCCTATTATTTATTTTTGAAGAAAATTTAGGAATCTCGAGGGCACCCGTTGTTTTAGATTTGAAGAAGTTTTAGGAATCTCAGGGGCACTCGGTGTTTCATTTTTGAGGAAGTTTGAAGAATCTCGGGGGCATCCGATGTTTTATTTTTGAAGAAAATTTAGGAATCTCAAGTGCACCTGGTGTTTTATTTTTAAAGAAGTTTTAGGAATCTCAGGGGTACCGGGTGCTTTATTTTTGAAGAAGTTTTAGGAATCTCAGGGGCACTCGGTGTTTCATTTTCGAGGAAGTTTGAAAAATATCGGAGGCATCCGATTATTTATTTTTGAAGAAAATTTAGGAATCTTGGGGGCACCCGTTGTTTTAGTTTTGAAGAAGTTTTAGGAATCTCAAGGGCACCTGATGTTTTATGTTTGAAGAAGGTTTAGGAATTTCAGGGGCACTCGGTGTTTCATTTTTGAGGAAGTTTGAAGAATTTCGGGGGCATCCGATGATTTATTTTTGAAGAAAATTTAGGAATCTTGGGGGCACTCGTTGTTTCATTTTTGAGGAAGTTTGAAGAATCTCAGGGGCATCTGACGTTTTAATTTTGAAGAAAATTTAGGAATTTCAGGCCTACCGGTGTTTTATTTTTGAAGAAGTTTTAGGAATCTCAGGGACACTCGGTGTTTTATTTTTAAAGAAGTTTTAGGAATCTCAGGGGTACCGGGTGCTTTATTTTTGAAGCAGTTTTAGGAATCTCAGGGGCACTCAGTGTTTCATTTTCGAGGAAGTTTGAAAAATCTCGGTGGCATCCGATTATTTATTTTTGAAGAAAATTTAGGAATCTTGGGGGCACCCGTTGTTTTAGTTTTGAAGAAGTTTTAGGAATCTCAAGGACACCTGGTGTTTTATGTTTGAAGAAGCTTTAGGAATTTTAGGGGCACTCGGTGTTTCGTTTTCGAGGAAGTTTGAAAAATCTCGTGGGGATCCGATGTTTTATTTTTGAAGAAAATTTAGGAATCTCGGGTGGACCTGGTGTTTTATCTTTAAAGAAGTTTTAGGAATCTCAGGGGCACCTGGTGTTTTATTTTTGAAGAAGTTTTAGAAATCTCAGGGGCACTCGTTGTTTCATTTTTGAGGAAGTTTGAAGAATCTCAGGGGCATCCGACGTTTTAATTTTGAAGAAAATTTAGGAATTTCAGGCCTACCGGTGTTTTATTTTTGAAGAAGTTTTAGGAATCTCAGGGACACTCGGTGTTTTATTTTTGAGAAAGTTTGAAGAATCTCGGAGGCATCCGGTGTTTTGCTTTTGAAGAAATTTCAAGAATTTCTAGGATACCCAGTGTTATGTTTTTGAAGAAGTTTTAGGAATCTCACACACACCTGGTGTTTTACTTTTGAAGAAATTTAAAGAATCTCTGGGATACCCGCTGTTATATTTTTGAAGAAGCTTAAAGAATGTTATCAATGTTATATTTTTGCAAACGTTTTATGTGGTGTTTTATTTTGAAAGACTTTTCAGTAATCTCAGGCGTATCAGGTGTTTTATTCTTAAAGGAATTTAGAAAATCTCATAGGTCCGGGATGTTTTATTTTTGAAAGGAATTTGAAGAACCTCTAGGATAACCGGCATTACAATTTAGAACAAGCTTGAAAAATCTCACATGTTTTATTTTTGAAGAACTTTGACCAATCGTAGAGGACACCGGTGGTTTTATTTTTGAGAGAAATTTGATAAATGTTTGAAATAACTGGTGCTTTATTTTGAAGGACTTTAAAAAATTCCACAGGTCCTCCGCATTTTATTTTTGAAAGAATTTAGCTCTAGGGGAACCGCAACTAATTGCGATTGTATAATTAATAATTTGTAGACGAATTTTTTATAATTTGTGGTGGATCGCGTGGGGTTTTTAGCGGTCGTCAAAATCCCTAACGTCACAACAAAAAAATTGACATATCTCTTTTTTTTAGCTTTATTTTATTAATTGTTGAGGTTGGAGGTGTCCAGACTCGGTCATGAGTCATTTACGTGAAACTAATCATGAATAATAAAATTCGGATAATAAATGGTATGCATAAAAGTGGAATATGTTTGCTTTGATAACCTATGTCAATGTTAGTTTTTCAGTGCCAAAAGTGCCTCAGGTTCCAGTGTGATGTTGAATCGTGGGAAGACGGGTCGTCCAACTGCGAATAATGACAGTGATATATCAAACGAAGATGTATGCGCCCACTACTGACGTCGTAGACCGACTGCCTTCAGTGGACCGTGTGACCAACTGGGACATAGCCGGTTTCATCATCTCTATAATAAGCCATCTCCTCGATGTCTTGTTTGACTGTAACATAGCCTACCGCTACTACGACCACCAGCAATTCGCCTACTTCTTCACAACTCTAGCTTTCATACTCATACCGGCTTTCATAAACACGGTTTTCAGTATAAGAATGTACATGCTCGACAGTGACAAAGACAACGCCGACCGCAGCGCCACTCTGACTGACAAATTTACCAAAAGAAGATTATGTTGTTTCGCCGTTCTGATATTTCAACTGGCGCCGGTTCTGCGATACTTTGACGCTTTGCAATACGCGCTCAAGTCAAAACGGGCCGAGAAAAATAAAGATCCTGAGAATCAGAGGAAATATTACGAGTTGATGGTGAAGGAGGATTCTGACGTCGCGCTGCTGCGGGTGCTCGAGTGTTTCCTCGAAGCAGCGCCGCAGCAAATACTCCAACTCGCGATCATTTTTAGTACAAATAGTAATGATAAAAATAGCCTGAATCAGAGCGACACGTTCACCTGTAAGTCAGAGTTACGTGGGTGGTTTTAATCTTATCTAATCTTGTGTGGTTTTAGTGTTTCATCAGTTGCTTTCAATCGGAAGTTCGTTCGTGAGCATGGCGTGGTCGATGGCCTCTTATCAGAGGTTGTTGCGGGTTTCGCTTAAAAATAAAAACAACATTTCCTGGCCGGGTACTCTAGTTCAATTCATGTGGCATTTTCTAGTCACGGGTTAGTACGTAGAAAGCGCTGAAGGACAGGAAAAATTATTAAGTTGATTTTGCAATCAATAAATAGATTTTAGGTTATGTTTATGATGCGCATGCGCAAGGTAGAACGTCATCAATTCTTTGCGGAGGATGGTTGGCGACATAATAATTTTTACTCTGACCTTTATATAGCGCTTGTAAACTGTCTTTGATTAATTGTTTGTTTTTCAGTTTCTAGAATTTTATGCATCAGTGTGATAGCGTCGAAGCATCTAGTGCCAACGATTTTGGTAATTTTGCTCCATTGGTTCGTGATGACGTTGTGGTTGTCGTGTACGAACCAGAAGAATAATTTTTGTAAACATAACAAAGTTTACGATATGTTTTTTTACTCGATTTTCGGGACGGTGTATATTTTCACGCCCGTTACTCTAGTTGAAGGACCAACTTTTTTAAAATATTTATTCTTCTATGTAGTCCTTTTTGTAGAAAACACTATCGCGAACGTGGTGTGGTACTGTAGTGCAGACCCCACTCTGCAAGAGCAGATCTACTATAAGCCGATCGTTTACTTAAATATTATCCCGTTTTTCGCCGGATTAATATTTATGTTGTTATATTACAAAGTCTTCCATCCGAGTACAGGGTATCATAGGACTCAAGCGGTACTGCCTAGTTAATATTAGCCCAATTTTAGTGTACAAATCAGAGAGGAGAACGAAGTTTTGTGATTGATCTCTAGTAAGCCTACTCAATAGATCCCCTCTGGTTGCTTAGCTATATTTGATTAACAATGTGATTTTTAATTTATTATTTAGCATAGACTGTGTGCATTTCGCAGATAGCGAATTCTATAGTCCTGAATAACATGTATATTTAAATTTTTGGTTCGTTGCAATATGTACATATTGTCGCAAGAATAGTGCCTCCATGACTCGGAACTGCTCTTTTACAAAACTGGTGCCTTAATTTATAAATAATTTATTTAAAATAAACCTCAATCGTCGTGAGCTTTCAATATTTACACACCCCCACACTAAAAAATAGGTCCGTCATCTAAGTTATCATCCTCGTCTTCGTACCCCTCCCCGTTGTCAAAGTAGTTATTAGCGTAGTCCGTCCCGTCGTCCATCTCTTCATCTTGATCCTCCTCAATAATCTCCTCTTCTTCATCCTGCACCTCCTCGTCCTCCTCCTCTTTGACGACTTTATCGCCAGTCTTCTCCTCAATCTTCTCCAGCTGGTTCAACCTCTGCTGCACATCCACGCTTTTACTCACTTTGGCTTTATTAACCCGGTGGGCCAAAACTTTGGGGCGAAGCTCCGACGGAAACAACTTCCAGTCGTACTTCTCCTTCACACTTGGCAGCTGCGCCACCAGTTTGTCAATTTCTTGCTCCGGCTGCTTGTTCTTGTCGTACGGCATTTTCAAATACGACGGTGACAACTGCATATGGTCGATCAAATCTTGTTTGAGAATTAAGAGGTAGTCAGTTTCCACTGAAGGCTGCAAGTTTCAAGTCAAACCACGTAGTGTGAAAAACTTACTACTTACTGTTAAAGGCACAGGTTTGTGATCTAGTAAGGGGTACAAAGGCGGCGGCTGCGTCACCGGTCCGGGTAGAACCTCGTTGCTTAAAACCCCCATGGCGTTCAACTGCTCCCGGTTGAAGGATTTCGAGATGCCGCCGCGCCCGCCTCTGCCCCCACGTCCGCCTCTCCCGCTCATTTTATTTAGTTACTTCGAGCTTCTTCAAGTCTTCTGAGAGTTTCGTTACTTCATTTTGCTCCTCCTGGAATGCCTCCTGGTCGTAGATGACTTTAACTATGAGGGAGCAACTAGGGCACGTGGCTACTTCTTCTCCGGTTAGCAGTTCTTCCTGAAATTTTAAGTTAGAAAGACATGGGAATTTGAGGTTATGTGGGTCGTACTTTCGAAATTTGGAATCTATCGCCGCAAGGACATGGGTAGTAGTAGATTTCGTCGTCTTCGTCGTACTCGAAGTCCTCGATTTCGATTTCGTCGTGAAAGACACTCATTACTCGGAAATGTTGGGTTGCGAATTTTACATTGCACGAGAAGTTGGGTTATGTGTTGCTGAGTAGCTGTCACGTGGTTGTCATTTTTATTTTAATTTTTTTCAAGAGTATTTGTGTGTATAGATTGCGGAAAAACTTGGTATATTATGTGAGTTGAGTTGTTTGAAAGAAAAAATTGAATTGGTTTTTAAATTGTGCTATTTTAACAAAAAAAAATCCTCCCCGGCGGGGAATCGAACCCCGGTCTCCCGCGTGACAGGCGGGGATACTGACCACTATACTACCGAGGATTATTGGTGAAAGTCTTCTCAGTAAAAGTGTTATACAGTAGAATTATATACTACGATAAAATATTTGTTCCGGTGATCATTTATTAATGAGGAGATTTATGCATGATTTATGTACGAAAATAGTTTATTAATAATGATATTTCTAAACATCAAAAATTTCCTGAATTAAGATTTATCAAAACGGAATCCGTAATATCATGCGTATTACCAGTACTTTGTAAGTACATATACTTCTGCAAAACTTCCCAAAAAGGCTTAATAGCAAGCTTGTGGCCAAAGTATTTTATGCTTTGCTACATATCCAAATGTAATAAACCACGTACTTATGTTTATTAATACAAATTTTCACTTGTATGTTTGGTTGCATAACTCAAATTTTGAATTTTTAGTAATTTAATAAAAAAGAAAAAATTGGTCTCCACAATTTACAATATGAAATATAACGATTTTTTACAATTTCAATATTCACAACGAATAACATTATTACAATTTTAATGGCGGTGGGAAGGCAAAACTTAAACTTTGCCTTTGTTCTGGATATACGTAACAATATTTTCACGACAACACACATATTTAAAACGTTTAAAATGGTAAATTTTTGTTGAGAAACAACGATTTTGCAATTAAGCTCCACCCCTCGGTCTGACAACGAATGAAAAATTCATCACAATTGAGATTAGGGCGGGTGGGTGGGGCTTATTTTTTGGATTTTTTTCCTTAACATATAGTTTCTTTTCAACAACATGTTACTTAAAAACATGTTTCAGTTCAGTTTCTTGTAGAGAAATAAGCATTTTGCAATAAACTCCGCCCTTTGGTTTTGTATTTTGCCTTTGTTTTTCTTAATATATTTCCGTATTTTTCTTTTCACGACAAGAAATTGAAAGCATGTTTAAAGGGGTAAATTAGTAAAGAAGTGTATGGGATAAAATTTACCATTTTAAACATGTTTTCAGTTTCTTGTTATGGGGAAAAAACGATATATATTAAGAAGAAAAAAAAAATGCAAAATATAAGCCCCGCCCACCCGCCCTATATCAACTGTGATAAATTTTTTCTTAATCGTCGAATTGCAAAATCCGTATTTTTCTACAAGAATTGCTGTGAAACAAGTTCTTCAAAAAAAAGACAAGCCCCACCCCGATCTCAGTTCTTAATCGTGATGAATTTTCCATTCGTTGTCAGACTAAGGGGCGGAGCGTAATTACAAAATCCATATTTCCGTTTTAAACACGCTTTAAGTTTCCTGTTGCGAAAAGAAGACTACGAACATTAAGAAAAAAAGGCAAAGTATTTTGGCTTAAATGTAGACTTCTTTTCGCGAATTTTTAATTTATTATTAATAAATATTAGTGAAAATGTGTTGTGTTGGTGTCGTGAACACGAAAAAATAGACATTTTTCCGAAAAGAACCGAAGGAAAGTACGACTTCAGTTTTAATTTAACGTGTTCCGTGATTCGTTTACTCGACAAAGTTTAAATTTTGGGGAAATATTCGAAAGGATTGAAATTGGTCGATCAAAGCTATACGTTTTCACGATGTAATTAAATAATATTTAAACATAAATTATATTATTTATAAAGTTTAAATACAATAAGTATTAATACATGATAATTAAATCGAACACCGTTTTGTTAAACACACTAAATTACTAAAAACAAATCAATTTGTTTAAATATTATTAAATTAACCCCGAAAATGTGCAATTTCTCGGCCAAAATATGAAAAATAATTTTTGCAATCTCATCGTGACGTACGATGACGTCACTGTCACGTGAGCTACCTGTCCAAAGGTCACGTTTTCAGTCCTTTGTGTTCAGTTTTCATTTCTGTTTGATGGTGACAAGATCGTCGCATCCTTTTGGCGTAAAAACAGAGCAATTTCGCGAATTTATAATTTATTATTAATAAATATTAGGGAAAATGTGTTGTGTTATTGTTGTGAACACGAAAGAAAATGGATATTTTTCCGAAAAGGACAGAAAACGGGGTAAGTACGACTTCAGTTTTAATTTATCAGGTTCCGCGATTCGTTTACTCGACAAAGTTTAAATTTTAGGGAAATTTTCGGAACGATTGAAGTTGCTATAAATTTTCACGATATAATTAAATAATATTTGAGCATAAGAGCATTCTGAAGATTCTGTAGATTCTAAATAATCTAAAGATTCTAAAGAACCTAAAGAACCGAAATATATTAAAATCCTATGAAATACAAGAATTTCGAGAAATTCGAAAGTTCAGACGGTTCCAAAGATTGTAACGATTCCAGGAATACCAAGGGTTCCAAGAACTGCAAGGATTGCAAGTGTTGCAAGGGTTTCCAAAAATTCCACATGTTCAAAATGTTCCAAATGTTCCAAAAGTTCCAAATTTTCCAGATTTTCCAAAGGTTACAAGATTTTAATGGATTCTATGGAATCCAATCATTCCAAGGGTTGAAAAGTTTCCAAAGCTTCAAAAGATTTCAATGATTCTAAAGTTTCTATAGATTCTAAGGGTTACAAGTGTTTCAAGGCTGTTAAGGATTCCAAGGTTTCCAACGTTCAAGTGTGTTCTAAGGGTTTCGAAGGTTTTTATATATTTCAAGGAGCCCAAAGGTTTCAAACACTTCAAGGATTTCAATGGTCTCAAGTATTCCAAGGATTACTAGGATTCCAAGTAATGTTCAGAGGTTTCCAGGAGTTCCGAGTGTTTTGAGAATTGCATAGGTTCTGAATATATTAAAGATTCTGAAGATTCTGAAAATTTCGAAGATTCTGAAAATTCTGAAAATTCTGAAGATACTGAAAATTCTGAGTATTCTGAAGATTCTAAAAATTTTGTAGATGGCGAGGATTTCGAGAACTTCGAGAATTCCGAGAGCACCGAGGGTTCCAAGGTTTCCAAAAATTCCAAGAATTCCAAGAATTTCAAATGTTCCAAGAATTAGAAGCTGTCAAAGTATTCCAAGGATTATAAGGATACCAAGTAACATTTCCTAAAATCCCAAAGATTCTATATGTTCTAAAGGTTCTAGAGATTCTAAAGAACCTAAATATATTAAGACCCTATGGAATCCGAAAATTTCAAGGAATCCGAAAATTCTGTCGATTCTAAAAATTGCAGGGATTCCAAGGATATCAAGAATTTCAATGATTGTAAGTATTGTAAGGGTTTGCAAAAATTCCACAGATTCAAAATGTTTCAAAGTTCCACAGTTTCCAGAGTTTCCGAAGGTTACAAGGTTTCAATGGCTTCTAAGGATTCCAGTCATTCCAAGGGTTCAAAGGTTTTAAAAGCTTCTAAAGATTTCAATGAGTCTAAATTTCCTACAAATTCTAAGGATTCCAAGGATTTTAAGGTTGTTAAGGTTTCCAAAGGTTTCAACGATGACAAATATCCTAAGGGTTTCGAAGGTTCCAAATGTCCGAAAGCTTCCAAACGTGCCAACGTTTTTATATATTTCAAGGATTCCAAGGGTCCAAAAATTCGAGGGATTTTAAGGGTTTCAAATATTCCACGGATTACAAGTAATGTTCTGAGCGTTCCGGGAGTTCCGGGTGTGGCGAGGATTGCTTAGGTTATGAAGATTTATTTATAATTTTTAAATACGATAAGTGTTAATATATGATAATTAAATCGAACACCGTTTTGTTAAAAACACAAAATTACTAAAAACAAATCAATTTGTTTAAATATTATTAAATTAACCCCGAAAATGTGCAATTTCTCGGCCAAAATATGAAAAATTATTTTTGGAATCTCATTGTGACGTACGATGACGTCACTGTCACGTGAGCTACCTGTCCAAAGGTCACGTTTTCGGTCCTTTGTGTTCAGTTTTAATTTCTGTTTGATGGCAGCAACATCGGAGTCCGGGGCGGCTTAAAAGTAGGGCTGTTTTCGCGAATTTATAATTTATTATTAACAAATATTAGTGAAAATGTGTTGTGTTGGGACCGAAAACGGGGCAAGTACGACTTCAGTTTTAATTTATTAGGTACTGTGATTCGTTTACTCGATAATGTTTGAATTTTGGGTAAATTTTCGAAACGATTGGAGTTGGTCGGTCAACGCTATAAATTATTTACAATGTTTAAATATGATTAAATATAATTCACAAAATACATCTATAGGTCGCTTAAGTCATAAAAGTTTTACAAGGTATATGTCAAATGAGGTTACAGTATTTAAAATTTTATTCAACAATCGAACGAAAATAGTAACAACACCTATTAGTATACAAAAATTAGGCATTAAATTTAATAAAAACGCGTCGGTGTTGGAAAAAAATCTTAGGAGCGACGATTTTCTGCAACTTTGTTGCGAAACGATATTTCTGAATGTTGCATTTTTGGCGTTCCGGCGTCGGCTCGCCTTGGCTTTTATTACCGAGGCATCGGTCGGAGGATGGGGGCACATCTGATTTTGACAAGTCAGCCGCTCGTTAATCATGTTTAATTTCAGCCGTTGATTTTATGTTTAGAACAGGCCAAAAGTCAAACGTTCTGTTAAAATATAACCAACTAGTTTCCAGAATGCATCATCATTAGGCTTTATTAATTGAAATTCGATACTGGTTTTTACGTGGTTTATTTTCAATTCGGATTTATGAAATGACGCATTGTGTGAATTTTTAACTTTGTGCTACATAGAAATGCGAATAAGTTCTGTTATTTGAATAGTTTACAAAATATCACGACAGTGTTGAGTAAATAGTTGTTTATTTATCGGTTTCCGGTTGTGAAAAACCCTTGAAAAATTTTGAAGATGTTTGAAATTTCTCGCCGCAGC